GGTCTTGGAGAACCAGATTCTTCGTGAGGGCGATGGCGGGCTGGTTGTCCACCATCAGTGCTGATGGGTGAGCTTACACACCGGTCAGCTCGCCTAGCAGTCGGCACAGCCACACAGCTTGGCATGCTGCTGTGGCCGCCGCCACGTACTCTGTCGTCGCACGTGGACAATGCCACCACCTTCTGTTTCAGCGACAACCATGAGATTGGAGCCGACTCGATGAAGACAAGTACGCCAGAGGTGCTCCGTCGTCCATCGATGTCCCCCGCCATGTCTGCATCACTAAACATAGTGAGCTGCAACCCACTTTTGCCGGTCTTGGGGAAGACGATCAACTGATCCACCATCCCCTTGACGTAGCGCAGTAGCCACTTCACTAAGGCCCAGTGATCCCCTCGGGGATCCTCCATGAAGCGGCTGACGTAGCCCACGGCGAACGCAATATCCGGCCTAGTGTAGACTAGGTAGCGTAGATCGCCGATGATGCTTCAGTAGAGTGTTACATCTACCTTCGCTGCGGTACTAGCCTTCGTCAACTTCAGCCGCTCCTCCATCGGAGTCACGCATGACTTGCACTCAGCCATGTCGCTCCGCTCCAATAGCTTTGAGGCGTACGCGCTCTGACCGAGTGTGAGTGCCTCCTTCCCCTATCTCACCTCGATGCCGAGGTAGTAGGAGAGCGCGTCGAGATCGCTCATTCAAAAATGAGCCGCCATCTCGTGCTTGAAGCTATCGATATCCTCTGCATGCGCGCTGGTGACGATCAAGTTGTCCATATACACGCCGACGACGAGCTCCTCCTTCCCCCGTCACTGCGTGTAGAGCGCGTGCTCGGATGTGCACCACGTGAACCCAAGCTTGCCCAGCGTGGAGTCAAGCTTGGTGTTCCACGCTCGTGGGGCCTACCGTAGCCCGTAGAGCGCCTTGCACAGTCGGAGTACCCTGTGCTCCGCTCCCTTGATAGCGAAATCCGAAGGTTGTCTAACGAAGACCGTCTATGCCAGCTCGACATTGAGGAAGGTCGATTTTACGTCCAGGTGATGGGCACGCCAGTCCTTCGCTGTTGCTAAAGCCAGCAGCAGTCAGATAGACTCCATGCGTGCTACCGGTGCAAAGACTTCCTCGAAGTCGATGCCCTTGTGCTAGATAAAGCCTCGGGCGACGAGGCGCACCTTGTGCTTGACAATGGTGCCGCGCTCGTCCCGCTTGACCTTGTACACCCACTTCAGGCTGATCGGACGGCATCCTAGAGGTGGATCGATGAGCTCCCAAGTCTTGTTTTCTTCAATCGCCTTCATCTCCTCCAGCATCACCCGTTGCCAATTTGCATCGCGCTTGGCCAGCACAAACGTGGGTGGTTCCTCTGCACTGACGAGAAGCAGCTCTGGGTAATTGAGCAGCCACCCGTCAGGCCTAAGGACCCTATGCCGCAAATGATGTCGTCCAGCCTATGGAACCACACCTCCTCACTGTCGTGAAAGGCATCCATGAACTCAGTGATGTCGCTTGGAGGTGAGGCAAACTCAATCAGCATCGATGGAGTCCCCTGTTCCGCCGGAGTGGTTGGCACAACACCTGGAGTGCTTGGCACCCCAGCTGCAGTGCTCGACACTACTCCTAGACCGCTCATCACCACTTCTAGAGTGGTTGGCACCACTGCAGGAGTGCTCGGCACAAGTCTTAGAGTGGTCGGGACCACTGCAAGACCTCTCAGCTCTACTACGGGAGCGTTTGGCACCCTTCCTAGAGTGGTCGGCACCACTACAGGACCGCTCAGCACCACTTCTGGAGTGCTCGGCACCCCTCCCGGACTACTCGGCACCACCCTAGGAGTGCTCAGCTCTGTTGCTGGAGTGGTCGACACCTCCTCTCCAGCGTCTCCACCACCGTGGATGACCAAGTGTTCGACGACGAAGGTGCTGGTGAAGCCGCCAGCTTCCCCCGTGCCTGTACTATCCCTAGTCCCAGTCCACCTTCTCGTCGAACATGACATCGCGTGAGACAACCACCTTGCCTCTATGTGGGTCATAGAGATGGTACGCCTTGGTACCTTCCTCGTAGCCTAGGAGCACCATCGGTGTGCTCCTGTTCTCTAGCTTGGTGAGGATCGGCTTCGTCTTCCTAACGTGGTCGATTCAGCCGAATGTCTAGAGGAAGGATACGCTCGGCTTGCGCCCATACCAAGGTTCAAACGGCATCTTGCCCTCCAGGGCCTTGGTGGGCGCACGGTTGAGGATGAACACTGCCATGGTCACTGCCTTACCCCAGAACCTTGCCGACATGCTCTTGGCCTTCATCATGGATCGAGCCATGCCGACCACCATCTGGTTCCACCGCTCCACCACGCCATTTTGCTGTGGCGAGTATGGTGGGTGTGGTGTTGCACCACACCCTGATCCGCGCAGTACGCAGTAAATTTCACCGAAGTGAATTCACCGCCGTGATCAGTCCACAGCACGCACAACTTCTTGCCACTCTCCGCCTCCGCGCGTGCCTTGAACTTCTTAATTGCCTCCGCCGCCTCGTCCTTGCTCGTCAGAGTTGCAGCCACATATAGCGATTGTAATCATCCACGAGCAGGAGGAAGTATCGCCGACCACCATTTATGGCTGGTGTGATTGGCCCGCAGAGATCGCCGTGGATGAGCTCGAGAGCATCCGCCACATGATACTTGGCCGTCTTTGGGAATGACGGCCTCCTCTGCTTCTCGACCAGACAGCTGTCACACAACTCGCCTCCGTGCTTGATGTAGGGCAGCCCTCGGACCATCTTCTCCAGTCGACCGAGCGCGTCGAAGCTGAGATAGCCGAACCGGGCATGCCACAGCCATGGCTCCTCGGTGTGCCATGCTGCTAGGCACACTGGCTGCTCCACCTTTAAGTCGAGCAGGTCAATTGATTATGTGAGCGTTTTACCTTCGCGAGAAGACGCCGCTCCTGATCCCGAATCTTCAGGATCCCGCTCTCGATCAGTACCTCGCATCCGTGCTCGTCCAGCTGCCCGATGTTGACGATGCTTGAACGCAGCTGCGGGATGTTGTACACATCTGTCAGTGCGCGGTGCTCACCGTTCTGGCACCTAAGATGATGGTGCCGCGCCCTCGGATCGCCACCCTTGAGCCGTCACCGAACTTCACCGTGCTGGTCACGTTACCGTCGAGCTCGAGAAGGCTTCCTTGGAGCCCATCATGTGGTTACTTGCATCGGAGTCCAGGTACCACCACTACTCTTGTTCGCCGCCCACACGTCCGAGGTGGACTTAGACATGCGATTCGTCAAGGTTGACAGCCTTCAGAGCCTTGTCGTGCCCTTTCACCACCATCACATCTCCCTTCTCCTTGGCCTCAATGTCGTGCAGTGCACAAAACATCGCCATTAGGAGAGTGGCCTCATCATCCTCATCAGCCTGCGCTAAATGAGCCTCAACCTTCTTCTCCTGCTTGCAATTTGGGCACTCCTTTGTCCAATGACCCGTCTTCCTCGTAGCGCCGGCAGACATTGGGGTCGACCTTCTTTTTCTTCGAAGAAGAAGAAGCCTTGCCGCGGCGCTTGCCATTGCCACCGCGGCTATAGGAGGCCTCCCTAGACTTTTTCTGGGCAGCCCACTCCTCCTCTATCAGCAGCAGCTTGTCGCTATCCGTCGTTGTTGTGGCCTGCTCCATGCGCTCGTTCACATCCCGTATATGGCCTGTCACATCCTCAATGATGAGGGTGGACAAGTCCAGCATCGCCTTGATGTACTTCACCGGTATAGAATGGAGGTACTTAGAGACCGTCTCTTCTTCGTCGATGGTGACGTCGTGGCTCCTCAACTTGCTGATGAGTGACTGCAGATGGAGGGAGAAGTCCTCCACCGACTCACCATCCTTGAACTTGAGGGTGGCGTACTCCTACTTCAGCAGCTGGGCCATCACCTTCTTTACGCGGTCGGAGCCGACGCGCATCGCTGCAATGGCCTCCCACGTCTCCTTAGCAGAGTTCTTCGCCCCCAACGGCTCCCTGTACTCCGTTGGTATAGCAGCGAGGATAGCCTCCAACGCTGACATGTCGTTTTTTTCGTTGTCGGTGCCCTTGTCAATGGCATCCCAGAGCCGCCAGGCTCTAAGCTTGACCTTCATGATCGCCGCCCACTCGCCATAGTTGGTGCGAGTCAGCGTCAGCCAATTGGTGCCGCTGACCTCCCGCACCGCGCACACGACGACCTCCTGTCGTGTCTGGACAGCCACAGCAACGCCGCTGCTGTCGCCCATCTCCAAACCGTCCGTCAACGCCAGCGGTTAGTTCGACGATGGCGCTTGTACGGCTCTGATACCACTTGTTAGTCCCGAGATCTCCGATATGGGTGAGCCGACCGCTCACCATCGTTGCCGACCACACACTATGGCTGGAGTAGAAGAAGAAAGGAAGAACAGAGCGTACACACACAGTACAAGTACCAGCGTTGGCCGGAGCTCTGCAGAGGAGATGGCAAAACTGAATTCACTCAACTTTACTGACTTATAGTAGGAAGTTATATATATAACTCTACTCATCTAATCATAGTACACAGACATGCCATGCTGTCAGGCTGCCACAGTGATTAAATGTGATAGCAGGGCTGACTTTGACGTCTGTCCCTGCTGTGGCTACATTGTAGCCGGAGAGCCTTTCGGTGTGCGCCCCTGCCGTAGCTACAGGTAGTTGGGCGACGGCCCTGCCACGCGAACATGCGAGTGAGCAGCAGAGCTGTACGTGAGCTGTGTGATGCGCGTGCTATGTTTAGGCATGGTGATTCCCCAATAACAACCAGGAGGATGCGCTATAGCTTCTCCCTCCTATGGATAGCACAATGATGTCCGAAACGGAAAAACGAGGAGACGAGCTTCCCGTCCCTCCTTCCCCACCACCTCCATTCCGGCCGCTGCCGCTCTGCAGGGCCGGCCCATGCGCGGGTGAGGTGAAGGTGACGACGACGCGGCGGCGCGCGTTCACCAGACCGGCGGCGGCCCACCGGCGGAGACGATGAAGGGGAGGCCACTGTTCAAGAGCCCTCTCCCCCGCAGCTACCTCTCCGACACCTCCAGCGTCTCGTCGGCCGCCGTCGCCACCCACCGCGTCTACCAAGTCTGGAGAGGGAAGAATGTACGTGCGTGCGTTCGTTAATTGATGGCTAATTGACTAATTAATTCATTACAAGCTGCCACGATCGATCGTTGCTACGTAGTAATTAACAATGGCGATCGATCGAGGACTCTCGCGTGGCCGATCCTGATGTCGTTGTCTGATCGAGATGCATGGTTTGATCTTTCGTGCTGATGTCGTTGGCAGAGATTCCTGTGCGGCGGTCGGCTCATCTTCGGCCCGGACGCGAGCTCCATCGTTCTCACGGTGGCGCTCATCATGACGCCGCTCGTGCTCTTCGTCGCCTTCGTCTCGTTTCCGGCTCGCCGAGCTCATCGGGAAGCCGCTCGGCACCGCCGTCCCGGCGACGGCCATGGCGGTCGGCGTATTCGTGAGTCCGTGGCACACATACATACAATCAATCACGGACCAACTCTACCTAGTTGTAGCACGCGGCCGGCGGCGTCGATCATGATATCATTGCGATGGTGCGTGCGTGCGTGCAGGACGTTGTGGTGCTGGTGCTCACGTCGGGTCGGGACCCCGGCATCATCCCCCGGAACGCGCGGCCGCCGGAGCCCGACGACGCGGCGACGGACAGCTCCTCCTTCGCGTCCCCAGCGACGGGCGCGTCGTGGTCGCTGCCCCCGACGCGCGACGTGTACGTGAACGGCGTGGTGGTGAAGGTGAAGTACTGCCACACGTGCATGCTGTACCGGCCCCCGCGCTGCTCGCACTGCTCCGTCTGCAACAACTGCGTGGAGCGCTTCGACCACCACTGCCCCTGGGTGGGCCAGTGCATCGGCCGCCGGAACTACCGCTTCTTCTTCATGTTCATCTCCTCCACCACCTTCCTGTGCCTCTACGTGTTCGCCTTCTGCTGGGTCAACCTGCTGCTCATCTCCCGGCAGTACGGCGTGAGCTTCGGCCACGCCGTGGCGGAGTCCCCGGTCTCCGGCTGCCTCATCGTCTACACCTTCGTCACGGCGTGGTTCGTCGGCGGGCTCACGGCGTTCCACTCCTACCTCGTGTGCACCAACCAGACCACGTACGAGAACTTCCGGTACCGGTACGAGCGCAAGGCCAACCCCTTCAACCGCGGCGCCGGCAGCAACATCTCCGAGATCTTCTTCTCGCCGATCCCGCCGTCCAGGAACGACTTCCGGGCCAAGGTGTCCCCCGCCGACCCGGACGCCGCCGCGCTCTACTACCTCGGCCCGCTGTCGTCCGAGTCGCGGATCAGCTTCTACACCAGGGCCAGCCTCAGCTTCGACATGGCCAAGGCCAGCTTCGACCTCAACTACTCCGCCAAGCGCACCAGCGTCGCGTCCTCCGACTTCGGCGACATCTACGGCGGCAGCCACGGCGGGCACGGCCACGGGGCGCTCGACCGGGTCTCTACTACGCACCTGCAGCAGCCGCGGCACTCCATCTTCGGCGGGCCCGGCAGGGAGAGCAAGAAGGCGGAGGACGAAGCGGACGCCGTCACGGCGGAGCTCGGGGCCACGGTGCACATGCACTACGGCGCCGCCTCCGGCCGGTCGCGCGCGAGGGAGTTCGAGGTGGTGTGATCGAGCGCGCTCATGCAGGGGAACGAGGGGGGTCGTTGATCGAGAAGAAGCAAATGCTGCCGTGTTCTCAGCTCGATCGTGAAAATGCGATTTGTGCGTGTGCTTTTTTGCGTGATGTCGATGTCGTACGTACGTGTAAGTAGCCCCAGCTTCGTCCTCCATATGTATGTTTGGAAATGGGATGGCTCATATCATAGCATTCTACTTCCTTCCTGCATGGTACATTGTAGTTCAAGGCTTCATGTATATATAGTTGTTATACATACATGTATATAGGCTGCCTATGCACATACATGCGCACATGTGAGTTGATGTCTGCAAGAGTTGAGTCCGATGCTAGTAATTACGAAGCAGGAGATACCGTGGAATCGATGATTTTTCACCACGTAAGACTCACCCACTAAGGAATTAAACTATAAATTCGATTTCTCGTACCGTGGCTCCGCTACCGTACCATGCGGTCGTGGAACGCGTATCGAACAGGGCTTATATATGTTATACGTGAGAGAGAGCACTTTGATTTCAGGTCCTCTTTGGCTGGGCTATGGCTTCTCTAGAAATGAAGCCAGAAAAGGTCATATTTTTGTGGTTTCGGCTTCACTTTTTTGACTAGCTTCACTACTTTTTGACTAGTTTTGGCTTCAAAAGCCGTTTTCATATGCCGTTCGGCAGGGCTTCTCCAAAATGCCACAAAAACCACAAGTAAAGCCCCTCTAGAAGCCGTCCCAAAGAGGCATGTGATGCTCACCTTCTCTATATCCGGCAACATTGTCCAGTCCATAATTAGGGTTTGAAGTTTTGGGCTTTGGGCTCTAGCGACCCTCTCTCAAATCCCTCAATTTGGTAGTAGTGGCCGCTACTAGCTCCAGGAGATGAAGGAATCGATCGATTGGGTGGAAAAAGGGCGGGAGTGGAATGACTTGATGCGTTAGCGCAATAGCATGATCCGCGAGAGATGAAGGAGGATGGGGGTGGGATCATAGACCCATGACATTGTGAAAAATAAATCCTTGAGGCGAGGAGGAAGGGGTGCTGGCAGAGTTCATTGAAATGGCATGTTGAGGTTAGAGGCAAGCAAGCTGTAGGGGCCATGTTGCCGGCAGCGGTGGAGCTGTGGTTTGGGTCGAGGCAAAAGATGACTTGGGATTGTTGTTATGTCTGACTAAATTAATCTAGGTCGTCCTATCTTCACCTAATGGGTGGAAAAACGAGTTTTTCATGGTCCTAGAATACACAATTGTTTCCTGTATCTACCTCAATCCTTTTGTCTTGGAGTGGATTAAGATGAAATTAAACCAAGTTTCACTCTAATTCACTTCCATCATACATGGATTGAGATGAATACGGATACATCCAAACAAGACCTTAAGAAGTCAAGATGCATGTGTACTAGGTTCAAAACGATAACAGACATGTGCTGCTCACTTTGTGATGTGCTTTTATGTTACAAGGATGAACTTAATTTCTTTCCCAAGGGTTCCTACTTCCAAGTTTACGGTATAGCCTGTGCAATCATCCTGGACCACACAGTCAGAAACGAAATCTGCAAACACATGAAGAATTGTATTTCTGCACTCCATGGTGTCCCATTTTGTGCTCCTTCGAGCTCCATCAAATGCATCAAGAATACGAACATTATATTCATCTGGATGGAAATTACTGAGCTACTAAAAGCCCATAATAAACTGACGGGAAGACAGGAAGCCTATCAAACCTGGCGCAAGAGTCGCCTGCAATACTTTATTTACATTAATTGACTTGATCAAACCTTAGCTCGAGACATTTTGCTTTGTATCTCACAGTGCGCTGCATGCGCTAACCATAAAACTTAAGATGGTAGAAAAATACGGATAACTCACTCATATTTCAAAAAAAAAAGACATAAACCTCAGTTGATGGGGGAAAAAGTATGGACAATTCACTCCGTAATTAACCAAGAATGACAGTTGACAACAAATAAATCAAACCTTTCGACTGTTGAATAAAGAACGACTGGCTTCACTACCAGTCAACAAGTAGCACAAAACCAGGAGTAGATTATGTTGGCCCACGGGATCACCGGCTGATGATAGTGAACTAGTCTCCAGACCACTAGTCTCCCAGACTAGACCACAAGTCTCTCAGACCACTAGTCTCCAGACCACTAGTACCGGTTGTGTCCGTACCCACACACTACGGATCGAGCTAGAAGAAGAAGGAAGAAGTAGAACAAGTGCGCACAACACAAGACAACAACGTTGGCAAGGCCCATCAGCTTTGTGATGGCAAATCTGAGCTCTCTTTAGATGAAGTTGCCTTGGTGTCCTATTTATACAACTCTATCTATATAACTAAAGTACAGGCGCACATGCTGTAACAAAGAATTAGATAAGCATATATGGCTGACTTTCTGCGGAAAAATAGCGTTGAAAAGTTACCTCAAAATATTTGTTTTAGGAATGTGAGCCATGCGGCGCTTGCACCTACAATGACTCTCAGACATTTCTGTAATCAAAGTCGGCGCCGTCTTCCTCTCGCTGTGTTTCACACAAGGTGGCGATAGATTGGCTAACAATCTTCCCTAATCCTCTCGCTAACCCTTGCACCCCTCCATGCCGATCATCTCCTTCACTCCGTGAGTCGAAGTCGTCCGAAGCGGCTTGGTGAGGACGTCCGCGAAGTTGCCGACCAGTTTCGACAAACTCGATGACGATCGCCCTCCATCAACATAGTCCACGAGGAAGTGAAACTTCACGTCAATGTGTTTACTCGGTCGTGCGAGAACCGGATTCTTCGCGAGGGCGATGGCGGGCTGGTTGTCCACCATCGCTCTTGGTGGGTGAGCTTCCACGCGGTTAGCTTCGCCCAAAGCAGCCGACGAGTAGCCACACAACTTGGCACACCGGCAGGCCGCCGCGCTACGTACTCGCCTCGTATATAGATAGCGCCACCACCTTCTCGCTTCAAATGACAACCATGAAATTGGGGCCGACCCGAGGATGACGAGTACGCCAGAGGTGCTCCGTCGTCCGTCGATGTCCCCCGCCATGTCTGCATCGCTGAATACCGTGAGCTGCAACCTACTTCCCCTGGTTTTTGGGAAGATGATTCCATGATTCACCGTCCCCTTGACGTAGCGTAGTAGCCGCTTCACCGCAGCCCAGTGATCCTCTCTGGGATCCTTCATGAAGCGACTGACGTAGCACACAGCGAACGCAATGTCCGGCCTTGTGTGGACTAGGTAGCGCAGACCGCCGACGATGCTCCGGTAGAGTGTTGCATCTACTTTTTCCGCGGTGCTATCCTTCGTCAGCTTCAGTCGCTCCTCCATCGAAGTCACGCATGGCTTGCACTTCACCATGCCGCTCCTCTCCAACAGCTTGGAGGCATACGCGCTTTGTCCGAGCGTGAGTTCCTCCTTCCCCTGTCTCACCTCGATGCCGAGGTAGTAGGAGAGAGCGCCGAGATCGCTCATTCGGAAACGAGCTACCATCTCTCGCTTGAAGCTGTTGATATCCTCCGTGCGCGCTGCGGTGGTGATTATTAAGTCATCCACATACACGCCGACCACGAGTTCTTCCTTCCCCGTTGTCACGTGTAGAGCGCGTGCTTGGTTGCGCACCTCTGAAACCCAAGCTCGCCCGGCGTGGTGTCAAACTTGGCGCTCCATGCTCGAGGGGCTTGCCTCACCAGTGAGCGCTTTATGCGATGGAGCACCTCGTGCTCCTCTCCCTTGACAAATAACCACGAGGTTGCCTCGACGAAGACCGTTTCCGCCAGCTCGCCGTTGAGGAAGGCCGATTTAACGTCCAAGTGATGGACGCGCCAGTCCTTTGCTGCCGCCAAAGCAAGTAGCAAACGGACCGACTCCATGTGTGCTACTGGTGCAAAGACCTCCTCGAAGTCGATGCCCTCGCGCTGGACAAAGCCTCGGGCGACGAGGCGCGCCTTGTATTTGACAATGGCGCCGAGCTCGTCCCTTTTGACTTTGTACACCCACTTCAGGCTGATCGGACGGCATCCTGGGGGTGGATCGACGAGCTGCCAAGTCTTATTTTCCTCAATCGCCTTCATCTCCTCTAGCATTGCCCGTCGCCAGTTTCCATCGCGCTCGGCTAGCGTGAACGTGGGTTGTTCCTCTGCACTGACGAGTAGCGGCTCTGTGTCGTTGAGCAGCCTACCCACCGTCACTGAGGGACTGTCTGCCGACAAGACGATGTCGTCCACTGCGAACCTCAACTCCTCACCTTCGTGGTAGGCGCCCACGAACTCGGTGATGTCACTTGGAGGTGAGGCGAACTCGATCGGGGGTGATGGAGTTCTTCTTCCGCCGAGTGCCTCAGATAGCACCTTTTGAAGTGCTTTCCAAATCGCTTCTCGGGATCCATCATAACTCCTACAAGTAGTTTGGCCACACTATAGGAGTGCCCACCTCGATCTTAGAGTGGTCGGAACCACAAGAAAAGCGTCTTGGCTCCGCCACGGGAGTGCTCGCACCCGTCTCCGAGTGGTCGCCACCACTGCAGAGCCTCTGGCTCCACTCTCGCGCGTACTCGGCATTCCTCCGAAGTGCTTTCAGCATGCCCCCCGTGGCGTGCCGACTCTACCGTCGAGTGCTCGGCGCTCCTCCCGAGTGCGTGGCACCTGTTCCAGCGGCTCTCCACCGCCGTGGATGACCAAGTGCTCGACGACAAAGGTGTTGGTGAAGCCTCCCGCTTCTCAAAAATTCAGGTGTGCCGGTCCCAAGCCGCCTCCTCGTTGAACACAACGTCATGAGAGACACACCTTGTCTCCACGTGGGTCATAGAGCCGATACGCCTTGGTACCCTCCGCGTAGCCTAGGAACACCATGGGTGTGCTCCTGTCCTCCAGCTTGGTGAGGTTCGACTTCGTCTTCTTGACGTGGCCGATGCAACCGAATGTCCGGAGGAATGACACGTTCGGCTTGCTCCCGTACCAAGCTTCGAACGGCGTCTTGCCCGTTAGGGCTTTGGTTGGAGCGCGGTTGAGGATGAACACCG